ACTACAGGTGCCCGCCACAACGCCTGGCCATTTTTTGGTTGCAGCCGTCATTGTTATTTTGGCGGGCCCGGGCTGGGGATTCGAACCCGCCACCTTAGGTGTACGTGGCTGGCGCCTTAGCCGGTTGAGCTATAGGCACAGAGCCTTAGGCCCATTTTTTAATCAGGCTTTTTATTTTTTTACTGTTGAGTTTTGAGAGTTCTTTATGTATTTTGGATAATAGTTCTTTATCACCTATGTCTTTTACAAGTATTTTCTCCCAGTCTGTGTTCTTCTTCTTCTCATTCTTTTGACACGGTCTTTGGGAGAGCAGAAATTTTTAATTCTGATGAAGCCAGCTTACCAATTCTTTCTTTCATGCATCGTGCCTTTGGTATTGTATCTAAATGTAAAGTCATTGCCAAACTTAAGATCATCTATACTTTCTCCTATATTATCTTCTAGTAGTTCATCGTTTCACGTTTTGTATTTAGGTCTGTAATTCATTTTAAGTTAATTTTGTGAAGAGTATAAGGTCTATGTCTAGTTTACTTTTTTGCACGTGGGTATCCAGGAGTTAAGAACCATTTGTTAAAAAGGCAGCACATGCGTTGTCATCGTATCTCCGTTACACTGCCTTTGCTTCTTTGTCAAAGATCAGTTGACTGTAATCATGTGGGTCATTTTTACCTAGTGCATTTTTCAACATGAATATTTTAGTCAACTGTGTCTTGCATAAATATTCACAAATGTTCATAGAAAGAGCATTTGGATTGAGTTTTCCGGCTCCCTTACTGAAGGAAAACGTTTCAAATGTTTGTCCTCACATTTCACGTGGACCATTGTACTTGGAATTTAAGTTGTTGATTAAATAATATTTCAAAGGTGACTTTAAAAAGTACTGGAATATTTAAAATTAACCAAGTTTCTTTTCAGTTTTTTGCCTATGTGAAGTTTGAAGCACCCCCTTGAGTACCTGATGGGAAGGTTTGATTTGGTCTATGTCTTTGAATTTTGAAGTATTTTATATGATGAGATTAGATTATATTTTGTTTCTCTTGCTGTGTTTTTAATTAGGTAGACTTCCTCTGTAGCATTGTGATTTTAATTCAGTGGTTAATTAGTATGAGTACATGTATTTTTCAGTCCCATGATCAAACATTAAATCCTCATTAGAAATTGACAAAATCCGCTCGGCGCCTGTGGCTCAAGTGGCTAAGGTGCCAGCCACATACACCTAAGGTGGTGGGTTCGAATCCCCAGCCCGGGCCTGCCAAACAACAATGATGGCTGCAACCAAAAAATGGC